ACATCTGTTGCCTTTCAGAGACCAGATTACAAGACTCTAGCGCCGTCTTCAGGATGGCCTCTCCAGTAAACTCTGACGCCAAATACTATTTGCGGCTTTCCGGAGACCCAGAACCTGCCGCCACTGATCAAGCTGGTGTTGGGGTTGTATTAAGTGCCAGGGCTGAATCAGCTCTGCTTGACTGGATCCCAGTCAACAGTCGGCTATGTGCAGTCAGACTAAGAGGTTCATGTAATGTAAGCAGGCGTCGAGACGTTAAGCGTGCCTTGTTTGTCGTCTCCGCCTACGCCCCTACAGACTGCAGCCCGGATGCAGTTAAAGATAGCTTTTACCAACAACTACATGAACTTCTGCGTTCCTCACAAAATGGATAAAAAAAAAAAAAAAAAAAAAAAAGAGATAACACACAGACGTGAGTGGTTTTGAGCAAACCACGATTCAGGCAATCACCTTGCCCACACAACTCAGCAAGTTGATGCCATAAAGCATTTATATCTGTGACATTTGCATGGCCATGGCTACGAGGCGATGAGCTGATACACGCACATATGCCAAGGGATAGGATCGCACTCTGTCCCCAGGCAGAAAAAGGAAACACTGATTGAAATACAACTACAAACAATGGTGGCGAACCGCAGGCGTCGATTGTCACACGCACCGAGTGGGCTTGGGGAGCATGTTATGTAAGAGCGTGAATGAACGCACCACGCCATAGTAGGAGTACGCTAGAACCTTACAGAGCCAGAACGAAGAGTAGAAACCCAGAGGATCAGAAATATCAAGTGATTGAATCATCCCGCGAAATGTGCGGTTAAAGGATGTTATGGCTGAGGTGGAATATATCATCACCCTCGATTAATGATAACGACGGGGTGGTTAACAAATAATTTTGTCGTCTTACAGAGCAACAGTGTCACATCGTAATGTTAATCGTCGATAATGGCTAGCGGCGAAAATCTCCCACCCTTGATCCTAGTATTTATCCACTTTCCAGATATTATAAGTTACAACCATATCAGTACGCCCTTAGGCGTCAACAGATATGGCACGACGGTCGTTCCCACAATGTGAACCGTAAGAACTTTTCTCTAACCCGCAAACAGGTCCTGGCAGCTTGAGTGAAAGGAGGTGGGCATGTCGGGACTGCTCGGCCCATCCATAACAATGTTAATGCTAATCGCTGCTGCCGTCAATATGCCGCTGTGCAGCCTGTTGGGCGAGTCTCACATTGTGAACGTTTACAGCGGACATCATGCGTGGATTGCAGCACGCCCTGAAAGAACCTGTGACAGAGTCTCTTTTGGTCCGCCCGACACAGCGTACGCCAGACAAACCCTCGAGCAGCTCCCCTGCGGCAAGTATTGAAGAGAAGGCGGGTCCCATATTGTAAGAGCTGCCTCTGTCGCCTACCGACGCGTCTTCGGTTAGAAAGAATACACACCCCCGTAGTATGGACACCAACCGTATGAACAAAAGAACTGCGTGCGTAAAAATCCTGTGGCTGGAGTACCCTCAAGCCCGCAGTGGAGCGACGCGGAGAGGTGACAGTTGACCGGACAGTTTAATACGCAAGTGAGAGCCATCCACTGAAGCAACAAAGCATCTCTTCCAGGTGCAACACCGCAGCTGACTTTTATCCATGACGACGCGATTACCGATGGCAACAGTGGAGCCGCGCAAGCGATGAATGGCAGCGCTGCATGGTCCCCGCATCGCCCAACGTCACAAAGGATAACACAGTTGACAAGTGTCGTTCCAGCCCCTCCTCTCTCCGTAGCAAGGGGAATACTCGTTGACCAAACGGAATACCACAACCAAAGCTCGCAATGGGAACGTGAAGAAACGCAATGGAGGTATCAGACGGCAAGCGCCAGCCATTTTCCCTCCTGACGTGTTATCTGACAATGCCACTCCAAAAACCAACCAAAATAGCCACTCCATAGAAAAAAAAAAAAAGAACAAAACGCAGCATCAAGATGTATTTCCGGTGAAAAACACTGCCAAAGCTAACATGGAAATAGAACCAACGACTATTGAGAGAGCATATAGATTGTTCATTCAGAAGTCTCAAGTCGTTGTATTGATTGGTGTTATCGGGCGGTGCCGGGGGGAGGGGGTATTGGGAAACTATCGTGAATTTGTTTCCAGGGGAAGCTGCCACCGTAAGTAATGCGACGAAGGGGCCTAGTGCGATTACTGCGATTAGAGTTGCGAGCTTAACTCCCCCTTAAATTTCCCAATAGGGGGGTGTCTTAGTTATGGTCGTATAGGTACCAGTTTAAAATAGTAGCAAAGGGCACGGAACATCTTGAAAGTTGAATTCATCCATCAGGGTTGAAATCGTAAGGAATAAGAGAAATAGAGAAAGGACCGTTGCTAGAGACAGTCGCGAAGACATTCGTACCGATTATGATATTCTGAGCTAACGAGAGCGCCATCAACGAATTATATTTCTACCGGCGACAAGAGTTTAGATGGATCTAGATAGGGGTGGAGGCCGACGCACTGCAGTCGTTGATGGGAACAGCGAGTGGCACTGGTAGGTGATCACCGCACGAAAGGCGGTATCTTGACAAATGAGAATGATGCAGCGGACTCCACGCGTAATCGAGGGTCAAACTAATTCGGTGGCGCGCGCCTGTGAAATCCACGTACAGGATGAGGCGACTTCCTGAGTGGTATAGAACTTCATCCAATCTAGGGACATATATCTGAAAAAGAATTCGAAAGGCGAAAGCGGATCCTCCTTCGTCCGGACCGCGCGAGTCTATCAGGAAGAGAGCTTGACAACGATTAAAGATAGAGGACAGGCGGCGAGCTGTAACTAGCGTATGCCCAGAACATCTTAATAAAAGCGCGAGAGATCGCTGCGGAAAGCAGCTTTTTGAGACAACGAGTAATGAGAGTTGATGAGAGCGATGGAATCGGAACGCCTTCGAGAAATCCACTGGCCGCAAATGAACGGGGGTACGAGAAAGACATAAAGATGGCACAAAGAGCAGCATGTAAGGTATGGTACGGCGTGCTTCCGATAAAGCGCGAACTTTACGAAGATCAACACCAAAAGTGAAATGCGGCAGACGTGGTTAACGGAGAGGAGCGCTCGGGCGACGGGCCAACGAGCGGTGGCAAAGAGGATACGATTGATAGAAGAGTGCGTGGGTTAAGACAGGATGCAAGCAGCGAAATAGTGAGACGGGTGGGAGAATGGTCCAGTGGGGCGAGATAGGACGAGGAACAACTGTATAGAGAGAACTAAGTGAACGCGAGAGCAGTGAGTCCATGTGGCAATAGGACATGGGGTAGGGAAGCAAGAAGACAAGTAGAGAAAGAGAAGTGAATAACCGAAAGTAGGGAGATCCATTATGCCTTGAAAGATACATCGAGTGGGCGCGCAGGCTATTAAAAGCCGGGTTCTACTAGCCGAGAAGCCGAAACGAGCCGCAACTGTTGAGCGGAACAGCTAGGTTGCATCTCTCCTCCCGGACCAATGAGCTTCATCCAAAGCTCATCATATAGCTGGAAAGGAAACTCGGACGACGGGACGCTCGCTACGCCTCCATCATTAATCAGAGAAAAGACCTGGAGTAAGGACCAATCTGGTCCTCAATTCGCGTGAGAGAACCAGGAATGGTTCTCGTCCTCCGATTAAGTGAAAAGTGGCATATGCGCCATGCAGCTCCGGTGAGAAATCATCTTCGTACGAGAGCACGCGTCTTTCCGGGCGGCTTATGATACAGAAGCGTTGAAATATTGGCCATATATGATACGGGCGGACGCGGGGGGTTGCCTGATTTTTTTGGCCGAATCCTATAACGTATGAAACACGTTATTTTCGAAGCGCCGTCCCATCGGTGTGGAAAGAGAGTAGCCACACACAAACGTTAGAGTGGCCACCTCACTAAACTTGCTAACCTCGATCCATCAGTTAGCGATGAATTCACACAGATTCCGAAGCTATGCGGTAGTTCCGCTGCCTTGGCCAGGATAGGCGCAAAGTAGCAAAGAAGTAGATGGGGCAGCTAGCAGCAGAGAGCGGCATACTGGTGATTATGCGCGGCACGAGCAATGGCAGTACCGATAATTAGAATTGGAAAGCTCGTGGTTTATGCTGAACCGCAATGGCCGTGCTGGCAAAACGTTGTGGGACTGCGTAGTGTGCCATGGGGGGCGGGGAGATGAGGAGGTCGGGAGTGCGGGGAGGGGGGTGGGAGGTTAAGTCTACGCTCATGAGAAACTTCTGTTTATAACGACTGCGAGAGCCAGAGAGCTGTAATACTGTTTGCTTCTGAGAGCGACTAAGCATCGAGAGCGCAGTGTGGAGGCTAAGGAAGTCGCAATAATCTAAGAAGGCAGGGAGGGAGGATCTATATTACATTAGACAGACACACAACACACACAGTGGGCGGTCGGGGGAGAGAGGGGTGGGGGGGGTGGGGGGGGGGGGGGCACCGGGGGGCAGGGGGCCAGGTTGTCTTCCGGGGGGGTGGGGGCCGGGGGGAGGGGTGTGGGTCTCGGAGGGGGGGTTTTGGTGGGTAGAAATGGGGCTGGCACAGGAGGTTGTAGGTGTGGGGTGGGTAGGGGAGGGGTTAGGGCGGAGGTTGTATGGGGGGTGGGATGGGGCGGGGTGTAGGTATTGTGGGGGGGGGGTAGGGGTGTCTATATGGGGATAGATAGGGAGGGAATTAGGATTATTATGGATGAGTGTGTGGAGGTGAGGGGTCAGGGGGGGGAGTGGGGGTGGGGGGGGGGATTTTGGATGGGTGTTATTGTAGTGGAATGTTTTTGTGGTTAGGAGTTGTGGGGTGAAAGAACCATCTAAGTCGTTGCAAGCGTTTTCCGATACCGTCCCTGGTGCGAAATGGGAAGACGCGCTCTAGTCGTTCTAAAAGTTTACTTAAGGAAGGAGACGTAACCTCAAAACGTGAGGCTGCTAAAAGTAGGGATTTGTCATCCCTGGCTGACCAGTTATAAGATTGGCTAGGTCGTCGTGATAGACAGCCTGCATTGTAACTGACAGGATGCTGATGTCTCCAATGCTGAGACAGGCCACTTTTAGTCGAAAACGTACGGTGACACGTTGGGCATTCGAAACTGGAAGTATTCCTGGTAGCGGCTGTGGTAAGTAAACTCGTAGGGTTCCTGAGATGAGCAGCCAAATGGCGCCGCCGGCCGCTCCTAGATTTAAATGTCCTCGAGCACAGCGAACAAGAGGGAAGCTGGATTACGTCAGAGATCGTCGCCGGATCGGAGGCGGGAGATTTGGATGTTGATAAAGTAGCTTCGGCAGGAGAAACTCTTCGTCGTGGTGACGGCAGCAACTGAGGGAGGCGATCAAGTAGTACACATGGTTGTCGTGATCTCGATGCTAGGGCTATGGGTGATAAGGGTGAGTGTGTGGGTGACGGTTGGATGCGGTTCCGAGAGCTGGCTATGGGGTCGGCAGAGGCCGTTCCGTTTGATTCGTTGAAAGAGCAACCAGCAAATCCACTGCTCTGACTCTGCAGGGCAGGGGATGAAGGGAAACAGGTGGGAGCCTGCGCCGCGGGCCGTTCATTGGCACCTAACCGCGGTTGTGCTGAGTGGGGTGCATCGAGTTTGGCGTGTATAAAATGGCATTCGGGTCATTGGAGGGTTTAAAATCTGGGGCGTTGATGATAAAAGGGTTGTTCGGCGATCCGGGACGACAGCGAAAGTGCGAAATAGCCGGATGGCGACGAGTAAAATATTTCCAAGTATAAAGTACTTCCAATTCTTTGTTGCTGTCAGAGGCAGATGATAAGCTGGATGATGTACGAGAGGATGCTGAGCCGGTGGAAGGCGCAACAGGAGCAGAGGGGCGATGTGATCGATTCTCTGGAGTGGGTGACGCGGTCTCTCTGGATGCTAGGGATATCACAGGAAAGCTCGGTGTGTTTTGCTCCGGACTGTGGTTACTGATTGTGTCTTCAGTAATATTATCGGTTGCACCCGTCGTGGGTGTTAACGACTGTTGAGGTTGGTGGCGATGAAGGCGGCGGCCTGGAGGGCGTTTCCATTTTAGAAATTGGAGCCGTTTCCTTATTGCTGTCATCGTTCGGAAGGGGAGTTTAGTTTGTAAAAGTGGCAGAAGCTGCGCTAGTGAAGATACAGATTCGCCTAAATGAGCTGCGTGCAGTAATAACTGAGCATCTTCCTCCGCAGACCAGTGTACTGAGGATATGGCCGTTCGGGATGACAGCATGTCTTGGTAAATAGTGGGGTGTGCCTGGCGGCAGTGAGTGGTAAGCGCTCTTGCTGAGGCGAATTGACGATTGCATTGTTGGCATGACGTCACCGGAGCACCGCGCATACGTAGATCGTTGGGATGTCGTTTGTGGTATCCGGTATGCCGAGTAAGACCAGCAGCCGTCGAGAAAAGAGCGTGACAGATATTACAGGTGTAATTTTGCAACACAGTGTGAGAAGTCGAAAGTATGGCGGAGGTTGTCATTGTTGGTTGTGGAATGTTGTTTGTTACTCCGTCGATGTGCAGTGATGGGGAATTCATATTTGAGATGTGTGAGTGAATATGTGCACGGTGCATGAATCCGCGGTCGACTAAAAGAGACTATCCATAGGGCTCAGGCCACAATAAGTGAAAAATAGGAATAAAAGCTAAAGCAGAATACGGGAAGGGAAATGATGCAACATTGCTTGCTACCTTTGCCCTTGTACAGTGGTAGCACAAGGGCATCCTTCAGCTCAGAAGGCACCTCCTCCT